CACCGGGTCACTGCAGGACACACCAGGTCACTGCAGGACACACCAGGTCACTGCAGGACACACCAGGTCACTGCAGGACACACCAGGTCACTGCACACCAGGTCACTGCACACCAGGTCACTGCAGGACCCAGGTCACTGCAGGACACACCAGGTCACTGCAGGACACACCAGATCACTGCAGGACACACCAGGTCACTGCAGGACACACTCAGGTCACTGCAGGACACACCATGTCACTGCAGGACACACAGGGTCACTGCAGGACAGGTCACTGCAGGACACACAGGTCACTGCAGGACACACTCACTGCAGGACACACCAGGTCACTGCAGGACAGGTCACTGCACACACCAGGTCACTGCAGGACACACCAGGTCACTGCAGGACACACCAGGTCACTGCAGGACACACCAGATCACTGCAGGACACACCAGGTCACTGCAAGACACACCAGGTCACTGCAGGACACACCAGGTCACTGCAGGACACACCAGGTCACTGCAGGACACACCAGGTCACTGCAGAACACACCAGGTCACTGCAGGACACACCAGGTCACTGCAGAACACACCAGGTCACTGCAGGACACACCAGGTCACTGCAGGACACACCAGGTCACTGCAGAACACACCAGGTCACTGCAGAACACACCAGGTCACTGCAGAACACACCAGGTCACTGCAGGACACACCAGGTCACTGCAGAACACACCAGGTCACTGCAGGACACACCAGGTCACTGCAGGACACACCAGGTCACTGCAGGACACACATAAAGACTGCTAAGAGGTGAAAGTCTTAGTACTCCGGCAATACCAACACACAGTACTGTACACAAAGGAATAATCTAATTGAGAGAACCGTAACTGGTTGGGGGAAATAAAGTACTGCACCACCTTTACTGAGACACCCACGGTTGGGAAATAAGTAATGACGTAGATGGGAAATAATTAATAAGAGATTAGGACAAAATTTCCCTGAATACTTGGTAATATCTGGTAACTACTTCTGGCCCCTGTATATGATTAGTTTATATCTAATTGCGCTACTTTTTATCACTAATTACGCTACTTTTCACCACTAAATATGTTCCTTTTTATCACTAATTACGCTACTTTTCACCACTAAATATGTTCCTTTTTATCACTAATTACGCTACTTTTCAGCACTAAATATGTTCCTTTTTATCACTAATTACGCTACTTTTCACCACTAAATATGTTCCTTTTTATCACTAATTATGCTACTTTTCACCACTAAATACGTTCCTTTTTATCACTAATTACGCTACTTTTCACCACTAAATATGTAAATTTTTATCACTAATTACGCTACTTTTCACCACTAAATATGTTAATTTTTATCACTAATTACGCTACTTTTCACCACTAAATATGTTAATTTTTATCACTAATTACGCTACTTTTCACCACTAAATATATTACTTTTTATCACTAATTACACTACTTTTCATCACCTGTTTTGTCGGAATTACAGAATGGGAAAAAATACTCCTTAATACAAAAATAAACTAAGAAACTACATTAAAATCACAATCACCTAACGATCCTCAAGAAATTAAATACCTCATATTACAAAGTGTCCAGGGAATTTTGTGCTCAGCTGTACAAGGATATGAAACACGTACAGTCGTTGAAGATTATGATGCTGGGGGAATATACGCAGTTAGGAATGATGCGACAGAAATAAGGTTGACGAAACACGTGGTTGAGAAATATATATACTATAAAAAAATTAGTAGACAAAAAGATTGAGAAATACGTATTCGAGAAACAACGTTACTTAGGAAATTAAAATAATGCCAGATATAAGATTGGGAAATAGAGTACGTGGTTTAATTGGGGAATATACAAGCTTAATTGGGAAATAAACCAATAAACTGCATAATTAAAAATGAAGTGGCTACTCAGCTGGTAATTCCCGGTCGGGTAGCTTGATGACTTACTTCACCGCGATTGGTTTCCCGGCGAAGTAGTCTCCAGGCAGCCCGGCGAAGTAACCACTTGGAGAAGAATCAGATGAAAAGGTGCGTGGTTATGAGACAAATTTACATACAAGTAGAGGTCCATAGGGGGAAGGGGTGAGATTTCAAGACATGCCGGGGTTGTAGTGAGGAGGGGCATGTAGGCCTAGTGAGAAGGGGCGTGTAGGCCTAGCAGGAGGGTCTCAGGCTTACTAGGCACACTGAAGTATTATTATTACCTGTATTATTATTATTATTATTATTATTATTCTCCTCATAGTTCCCTACCAAGAATATTTCCTTCCTAATGAGGGTTTCTGTACTGTATTCTTATAACTGTATATTTTGTAGAATCTTCAAAACAGATTACAAATATAACAGACAGTAAAGATCTGATAACATCCCTACCGATGATAACAATCTACGTGGCTATCGTAAGAATTATCTAATAACTCATCCGTATGTATTGTTTACAAGCTTTCTAAAAAATATTCCAAAATATCGAAAAAGAAAAAACTAATGAGAATAATTTTGATGAAAGTAACAAAATATAATAAAAAAATATATTGTCAAAGTCTTCACACTACAATATTAATAAAAACTTAAAAATTATCCTTATCAAATTTTTTCCAATTACTTTTATGTTTTCCAAAAGGTTCAACTTGTTAAAATAATTAAGAATATATAAAACCAATGATACTTTCTCAAACTTTCTCTTCAAAAACAAAAAATATATACCATAAAAACTATTGTAAGATATAATTTATTAAACTTTGAACATTTTGTAATATTTAAAAAAATCTTCCCTTGCAAAAATATAATTGACCACAATATCCGTCGTTTCACCTAACCTAACCATAAAAATATGTATTAGCAGCAAGATCATAAAACTTCTTAAATATTTATATAAGTATTTTCTTGTAAAACAACAATAATTATCAATAAAAAAAATAATAAAAGAACCATAAGTCGCCCTAATTAATCTTCACAAAAACATTTAATTATATATTATCATATTTCCTAAAGTTCCGATAAAAAATATACCGTAATCCCCCAAAAAGTTAAAACCCCTGTAATATACTTTGTAACATCATTAAAAAATATTAAGTTCTTTACCAAAAGTTTCCTCCTGTAAAACCCTCCAAAAGTTTCCCTAATATTCTCCAAAAGCTCTTCTATAATATTCTCCTAAAGTTTCTCCATATGTTAATAAGGAAACAGGTTATGAAAGAGACGGTAGACTAACACTCACTCACCGTCCGTCTGCAGGTAAAGGTATAAAATTTAATTGATTTTTTTCACAAGTCTAGGCACTCTATTAGACACACTCACAATAAAGGTTGAACAACATGCAGTAATAGATGGTAAGCACAACATATAACCTCGGAAGCGTTGTTGTTGTGGAGGTGTTACTACAACTTGGTGCCACACTTATAAAAAATGGTTCATATGTTTTATTAACTATTCAGATTAATCTATGAATATTCAGGGAAATTTATTCCTTCATTTAACATTATTCATCGAAATACTGATTCCTAACATTATCTTATTTATCACAAAAAGTAATAACATCATCAAACACAAATGTTGTGCCATCAAACACATTCTGGCAAAAACAAAATGATTCAGTCCAGGTAGCAATACAATGTGGCTTCCAGAATATTATAGAGAAACTTGAGGAGAAAATAAAAACTCACTAAAGCATATTAACATTAAAAGGAGAAAATGTTGAACATGCAAATTTGCCATAAAATGGCTGGAGCAGTGCGTATCATGCCAAGGTGAAGAGGTAGTAATAATAATAATAATAATAATAATAATAATAATAATAATAATAATAATAATAATAATAATAATAATAGTAGTAGTAGTAGTAGTAGTAGTAATAGTAATAATAATAGTAGTAGTAGTAGTAGTAATAGTAATCCCAAATGTGTTGGAGCATTACAGGCAGCGGATGAGAGAGAGCGGATGCACAGAGGTAAACAAAGATCGGCTCCCGGGCGAGGCAAAGCGGGGCCGTGTGACGGTCGGGGCGGTGTGGGGCGGCTGTGGTGTGGGCGAGCGAGCTGGCCCTTAGTGTGGGGTGGCCAGCCAGGCCTTAAGCCTTAATAGTGTGGGCGAGCGGGCCTTAGCTGACGGTTTTGTATTACGTCATAAGTAGAGCAGCAAGAGTTAAGTCAGGGCTGCCAACACAACTGAAGATAACAAATCAAGAGCTGCCAACAGGACCAATTGGAAGATAAAACTCTGCGTCACGATGCACTAACAAGCTCTCGTGTGCAGAGCCATTACTTACAATTCCATTATCAAATAGACATTGAGATTATCTTCAAACGTTTCTAAGAGCTGAACTATGTTGGGATGCGTTAGCCTGGAATACAGAAGAATAAAGCAAGGTGAGAACACGACGAATGATCCTATCAAAGGTGGGCTGTAATTGTTGGATTTTCGGCGAGACCGTTTAGGACAGTAAAATGGAACACCAGGTGAGCTGAGGTGACGTTACAGGCAACACCAATCACTACTGTGTCTCATACTCAAGATCCTTCAACGTGTTAGGCAAATTTTACATCAATATAAAAGAGAAACGTTTGAAAGACATTCCATTCTACTGTCCACATAGTTCCCTCCAAAAGTAATGTAAAAAAATAAAAAAAATAAAAAAAAATACCAAGAGGGTGAGGGTTGTTCCCCCAGCGTGACGCGCGGTGTGCCACATGTTGCAGCCTCTGTAGGGGTTTAGAGAGTGTGTATGGATGTTAGTGTGGCCCTGAGGTAGCTTAGCCACCACCACACCTCGAATCAGTCAAAGCCAGCTCAAACCACTCGCCCCAACCTACAAGATTACCCCTAATTAAATCATAATTATAATTCACATCAACGAAGTGACATTTCTATATTTTGATGTTTAATTTTGAAATCAAATTAGACTGTACGCCTTTCTTGACAATGATTCGAGGCGTCGCTTCAGTGCCACCTCCCGTTCCCTGTGGGTGTTGGCGGGGTACTTACAACTCGATGATGAGGTATACGTGTTCAAGGTCTTCATAAGTGTCCAGCAGCTGCACTATGTTGGGGTGCTGCAGTCTGTAAAAGTCCACACTTGTTATGATAACACTTCTACACTCCTTTATGGCAACAAAAGACCTTTATGGCAACAGAAACACGTAAAAAATATTATGAAAGCAAATCGCAAGAAGTTTGAAAAAATAACAAAAAATTAAGAAATACAATTAAACATTTTAAACAAAAATTAATTAAAAATGTTTTGACCTTAAATGGCAACCACTTAAAGACAACTGTAATAAAAATTAATTAGGGAACAAAAAACTTAAGGCATTCGGAAAGAATAAAAATACTCATGCATAACTGGAAATAAAATTACGTACATTTATATCAAGTATTTTAGTGGTTAAAAGGACATTAAAGGTTATTACATAAACATGCCACTCAAAAAAATTTTATGAATCACAAAAATTCTAAATTGGCATAAAATTTTCCAATTAATTACTTGATAAAAATTATTTAAAATTTAAGTTTAAGTAAAAAATGTTAAAGTTTATTTGTCAAGCAAACTTTATTCATAAACTCTAGGAGAAAATGTAAATAAAAAAATTACAAATATTTTCCCAAGTTATTAAGCAATGAAAAATCAAATTGTCAAAAAATAATGCACACATTAGATTATTTAAGACTGAAATGAAAATGTTAATACATGACACGGTATAAATAAAAATATGACAATTATTACTGAAACAAACAAACCAGAAAAGAAAAAAAAATACAAATAATAAAGATAAAAAAGAAATTGTAGGGAGAAACAGAAAATTGTGGGTATACAGTACACTATATTTACCAAAAATTAAATTTAAAGGAAGATAAAATAGAAAAATATAAGAACATCATGACAATATTGAACTGGAAACGAAACTGCTATACGTACTGCATTTTATAAGGTCTATCACGTGCTTGTAACTCAATCTTTTTGTTTTTATTAATTATCTTTCCTCTTTCTTCTTCTTTTGACATACATTGTACAACTAATAATTTTAAACATCATTAATACCATTTTGATTGATTAGGCAGTGTAATTGAGTTTTAAAAATTATAAATATCTTTAATTATTTCAAAGATCGTTAAATAACAATAAATGATTAAATAAGACTAATTATTCGATTTTTTAAATTGTGAGCCCAGATCATTGATCAGCATGTAAAGTAGTACCTTTGTAACCATAATGCGACCCCAAGCGCCGAAACGTAAGGTATTAGGTCAGACGCATTTCTTTTTTTTTTTTACCCTTAACAACATTTTGGAAGAAAACGAAAACTAACGTGTTTATATAGTAAAGATACTGTCTATTTTTAAGAAAATTTATATAATGGTGATTTAAAACATACGGGCACTGCAGAGTTGGCAAAAATCACTTGTTTTAAACAAAAAACATGCTTTTGAAAAACAAGTTTTTAATGCTATTATATTGGTTTTAATATGTTTAAGTATTTTAGCCCTTTATATAACGTTTTAATGTGCTATTAATCATAAACATTACATTCATCACAAAAAACACTGTACAAAGGCCACATTTGAAAAAACACCAAGACTCATCCTACATGCTTTAGGTTAAGTTCATCGTAAAACATGAAAAACTATTCTACTTTTACAGTTGAAAGTTTTAAAGAATTCTGGGCTCAGAGCCCAGCCATAAACAGAAGCAGTCACCAGTTATATTGAACGGTGGCAACTTGGCTCCCTTATATTCAGCCCTGTAAGAGAGCTTATCACCACCACTGTCACCAGTGTACAATAGTTCACATCCATGTATATACTGAACAACCATGGGGACATAACACATCCCTGTCTAACACTCACAATATATTTCAAATGTTTTGCTATCTTTCCCATTTACTCTTACTGTTGTCCTGCTGTTCTCAGAATGCTTTTACTGCATTGAATATTCTTCCTCCCACCCCATACACTTGTAATGCCTCCCACAATGCTTTTCTGTTCACCCTGTCATATGCCTTTTCCAAATCCACTATAAATCATTAAAAACATCTGTAAGTAATAAAAACCAACCAAAAAAATAATAAAACCAACAAAAAAGCTTAAGATTAAAAAAAATGATTTATTGTTTGGTTTAAACTATTGGTTTAAATCGCCCAACCCTGATCGTAATTATTGTTATTTCTTGTTAATCCTTGCCAATTATTTTCTAATGTATTGTATCGTAATTATTATTAGTTGCAGTTAATGGCTTTCTAAGTAAGTACACAGGTCGTCAATTATTTAAAATTAGGAGATACATCTATACGGACGATTCAATACGGGTCAACTTGTAACATGACTTGCGTTGCCTGAGGAATGATTCTCAAATTTTACAAGATCCTAATTAACTCTGGGGAAAAATAGAGTAAAGTAATTACGAAGAAAGACATCGTGCGTCATAGGGGCTATAAGAAGTTAGTATGTTAAGACTTGGTTAAGACTTCAAAAGATATAACACTAACTATTTTCTAAATATAAAGACATCGATGACGGCCATGATTTCGATATCCTAGTAAAGTGTGCGTGTAGGTAATAAACTAAAACAACCCCGATATAGATAAACCACAAAACTATACAAGGCTAAGATCACTCATGAACAGGAAACAAAATATTTTACCAGAAAACCTTTTAATTAAATTGAGGGAGGTTTACCCTTATTTACACACACACACACACACACACACACACACACACACACACTTACTTTTCCCTAATTTCTGTAATGCATTTAAAAGTTTCTATTTCTGTGCTTCGATCGGTTCACTAGTTCAGTAGATGTCGATTTTTTTAAGCGTCAATTACACTGGAATGTGACGACTGATAGAGGAACGCCACACTTATTGTAAAGAAATATTCGCTAACATATACGCAGACTTGTACACACCTTATCCATCCTAAAAAAACACACACACGCACAGGACAGTAAAGCTTGCCTGACCAACTACAAATTCCAAATTAATAAATAAATTGTATCTATTTTGGGACTCACTCCCCACGAGCACTTACTAAGACGGAAGAAATATGATACTTAAGCATATACCTGTCACATGACTACGCATGTTTGTGACTGAAGTGAATAATTAATACGTGTTTTAAGACAAGTCCAGCGGGAATCCTAATGCGCATGTCGCCTTTCTTTTGTTTTAAATATGTAAACAAAGTAACATCAGCGATATTATACGATGCTCACCATTTTAATGAAACACCAGCGGTAATATACGCCATTTACCGTTTCAGTGACACAATGTATATTAATATTTTGTTTTACAGGAATATTATAGCTGAAATTTATCGAGAAAATAGAGAAATTTTTAAAATTCACTTCCATACTAAACGTAAACTCCCCCCCCCCCTCTTGATAACAACATGGGACCCTTTATGTACATTAATTATATTCACTGATGAAATACCAATTTTCGAGTTTTTCTGGGGAAAACAAAAATATAAAAATATATTCCGTCAAAGTAACAGGTTTAATCGTTTAAAACTCAGCCTCGAAAATTTTAAGAATAAACTTTTTTGTGGGTAGTGGAGCCGCGCGCCGCCACCCATCCATTTTCCCAACCGACAAAGAAATACATTACCAATGTGTGCCTGTGCTGCATCATTGAACCCCTGCTGTTGCTGCATCACTGAACCCCTGCTGTTGCTGCATCACTGGACCCCTGCTGATGCTGCATCACTGAACCCCTGCTGGTGCTGCTGCCTTTATTACACCCACTCCAAGTTTTCACTCTTGTACCTAAGGCACCAGTTGTATAGTTTTATATATAACGATTCTTAGTTTTATGTTTAACGGCCCTTATAAGACTGCAAACATTTTTAATACAAGTCTTATAAATTAACCAAGTTCGCTTGGGTGGAAGGACGGGAAAATAGCGTACGACCATCCCCTAAGCCACCCGCACCTCCCTACCAAGTTTAAACTCTGCCCTCAAAACTGTCGATCAGCGGGTGAGGGGGTGTCGGGGGCTGTCGACTTGCACCTTGGGGGGACACCTCAAATAACGCACGATCAGCCCCTAGAACACCCGATACACCGCTAACCATATCTCGGCTCCCTGTCTTTAAAACCGTAGAAATACATAAGGATCACACACACACACACCCAATGGCCCAGTGACCCACCTTTCTCCTCCTACAGAACAAAATGATCTATAGACCGTAGATCATGGGGGTCTACAGTCAAATTCATCGCTGTCGGCTACGGTGATGAATTTAACCCATGTACGATCCTATATTCCTCACGTAAAAGAGATTCCTAACCTAACCAAACACAACTGAGCGTAACCTAACCAAACTTTGCGCTAACCTAACCTAACCCCCATATACAGATCCTTGAGAATGTGTTTACAAACTTGTGGTGATGAAAGGATAAAAGACACAAGCCAGTGATCGTCGTGTCCACCAGCCTACAGTGTTGTTTACCCAAGTTGGATACATTAGTGCTGCAACTGGTGGTTGTGGTGAAGCGCAGGTGGGAAGCAGATGGTATGGTATTAAGCGTCGTAATGGCCAGCTGTCAGGATATGTGTGTGTGTGTGTATGTGCGTGCGTGCGTGCGTGTGTGTGTAGATCATTACATTGAAATTTATACTACTATTGTCCTCTCTTTTGCCTCCCTACACACACACACACACACACCGCCAGAATCCGGTCAGCAGTCAAACCGTGTATGTACTATGCAACAGCCCCCCTAGTGTGAGGCAGAGCCGTATTACAAGTGGCAAGACACACACCCACACACACCATTAACTCGGGGCCAAGTGTGCAGGGAGAGGGTGATTTATCACCACGCCACCAAACACAATGGCAAAGCTAGCGTGCAAGTGCGTGGGGGTGAGGAGGTGAGGCCACCCCCCCCGGACAGACGCTAGAAGACTTTTGCCCGTCAGGTCAATCTAATCCCAGGAAAGGTTTGTCCACGAAGCTCTCTGCTGTCCTGGAGAGTTATACCTGATGAAACCTATCGATTTTCCCATTTCTGTCTGGGGTTATGCTTTGTTGCTCCCCCCATCCCAGCAGCCACCAGTTGAAGGTCATATACTAGGTTAGGTCCCTGTCATGCTAAGGTCCAGTCACACTAAGGTCCAGTCATACTAGGGTCCAGTCATACTAAGCAACACCCTATTAGTACCGGGACATTAATAGTAATAATTACATAAGGTCAGAGGTTATTAGGATGGAGACCTAATGAGGCTTGGGTTCTATTTCACCCTCCTCGACCTCACCCCCTCCCCTGACCTAGTTGTGGCGGGGGGGGCGGAGAGAATGATTTGAACCTTACACACATCAAGTAACCTGATTTGGACTGGAAATTACTCGTACATACTGGTATCGGGTCAACGAAGCGGAAAAAAGTGTGTGTGTGTGTGTGTGTGTGTGGAGGCGGCAGGGACACAATATTTACCACACCTAGTTGTGTTTATCTGTGATGCACCGCGCACCTGTGAATACCACAAAGTGTATAGGGTCACCTGAAGATTAACTCCCAGCTTATTTCAGGTGTAACAAGCTGGGGTGATGGTTCTTCAGGTGATCATTAACAAGTATTCACACAAATTACGACTTAAATTTTCCCTTTCATTCATCTGTCGGTAAATGAGAGGTAACGTGAAGCAGTGGTCGCTGTGTGCTCGGGCAGGTGTCTTTAAGGGGTGCTGGTGTCCGTCCACACCTACTGAGGCTGAAGACTGACAGGTGAGACAGGTGTGTGGGTGAGTGAACGTTCTCACTGGCTGATAAATAAATCGAAATGCGAGTCATAACAGGTGTGGCCACAGATAAGACTTCGCCTGCCATGATTGAAGGAACCGATGGGTAGCAGAAACTTTACACATCGTTGACACCACTCACTTAGGTTTGGTTAGGTTAGGTTAAGTTTGGTTTAGTTTAGTTAGCGTTAGAAAGAATTCAGAGGAGAATGACACGACTAATTCCGGGCATCAGGAACCTTGAGTTCAGAGACAGGTTAATGCATCTTAATTTGCACTCCCTCGAGAGACGTAGAGTGAGGGGCGATATGATAACAGGTGTATAAATGGAAGTCTGGGCTAAACAAAGGTGACATTACAAAGTTATTCAAACTATCCAACCAGGAGCAAACTCGTAACAATGGTTTTAAATGAGACAAATTTAGACTTAGGCGCGATAGGTAAACATTGGTTTGGAAGTGGAGTAGGGGATCAGTGGAACAAGTTACCGAACATCATTAACTTGAATACGCTGGATAGCTTCAAACAATGGATGGATATATGAGCAATAGGGATTGGGTGTAAATGGGACTGACCAGTATGGGCCAATAGACCCGCTGCAGCTTCCTCCTTCTGTTAGGTTAGGTTAGCGTCAGGGTGATCAGTCTTAGGTGAAATAAACTGGGGTGTGTATTCTTCAAGTGGTCTCTTTTCAATATAGAGTCAAAAGTCGACCAAATATTAGAACACCTTCCTCATATATGTTGACTTTATGCTGTGTTATATACCTTGTCTATACTAACATTTTAACACAAAAATAACTTTGAAATATCACTGGAATCACGTGAAGATTAATACCCCAATTTATTCACCTAAAATTAACCATCCATAACCTAACCTAACTTTATTTAACCTAACTTAACCAATGTGATCTAACCTAATCTAACTCAACCAATCGAACACAAATTAACTTAATCAAACTAACTTAACCAACCTAACCTAATCCCAAGGCAGCATTAGGGTGTTTAATTATCTACAGTGAAATAAGCTGGTGAGTCTAATCCTCAGGTGATCAAACCACTTCTTAAACCTGTTCTGCCAGCGTAGAGATATCTGTAATACTGTTAGAGCTCGGTCAGTGAGTGAGTGAGTTACGAGTCGTGTTTTATCAGGGTTGTAACTTAACTCTGTTGGCGAGTGTGTGTGTGTGTGGTGCGCGAGTAGTGGTGGTACCTGAGGCAGTGGGTGGTGGTGTGAACATGGCAGGTGGCAGGTCTTGGCAATCAACAAGCTGTCTGCCACACGTCACCTCCACGCACCGAGGTAGAAGATGGAAGGCACCACCACACCTGTATACTGTACCTTCACTGGGACCCGCCACACCACCATCACTCCTTTCTTTAATGGATTTTAATATTGAAGTCAACTGCCCAGTCACACGATCCACATTGTTAACGGCTCATGTTATGGGTCAAGTTGGCACGAGATGTCTTTTGAGTGAGGTGTGTGTGAAACGTAAACAAATCCTTTAAGATACTGTACATCACAAGTGGACCCTTAAGGTGACAAACAGTTTTATTCACTAGGTAGAAGCACACTTATTAACATCCCCTGTACACACATATAAAACACTATCTTCTGAAGACTGATCCTACGACTGGCAGCTCACCACCTGTCAAAATCCCACGAGGAAAAACAAAATCTTGACCCACAAATGGTCGTCTTCCCCTGATTACGTCTTAATTTCCTCCTCCGGGTTGATATTACACACCCTAATCTCTCACGTGATACAAACATTATGTAATAAGAGAAAGAAGAGCGTAATAACTCATCAAATTATCAACCGCTGAAATGCTGGGGTGATGGAGCGTCCTCAGTCACGCCCACACGCCCGCCCTCCGGCCCAGAGTCGTGTGTGTACAAATATATTCCTATCACCTGAATTTTTGTACCCGAAAACTCTCTCTCTCTCTCTCTCTCTCTCTCTCTCTCTCTCTCTCTCTCTCTCTCTCTCTCTGACACACACACAGAAAGGCATAGCTTAACATCACACCAGGCACATATAGAGCTGCTGGCACATATAAATTTCGTTAAGTTTGTCTCGGAAAAATCACAAGTGTATCATACAATTATTAGAGCGGCCTAACAACTATTCGTTAATTGGTTAGTGAGTTTGGGAGCCCCGGCGATGACGTCATAGCGTGTCTACAATTGGGTGAAGGCGAGTAGCATGACACGCAAGATTTGGCGGGAAATGACGACTATGGTGAATTATTCCTTTATTTTGTCATCATACACTAAATATTTTTATCATTTATTGAGCTATTCATACATTCTTGTACAATATAAATCTTTTTCATTCATAGTTATTTTTTTTTTCTTATTTTCGCCATTTTTCATTTTTCTTTTTCACGCATTAAATTACTGGATCATCCCTCGTTTTTTCACAATCTTTCGATATTTTTTTTTAATTTACAAACGATTGAATAATTCCTTTCATACATTTTTATTTTATTTTATTTTATTTAACTCTTATACCTGGGAGGGGAACGCAATTCACGTTAGGTAGACAGGACTGCAGGTGTCAGGTATTGGTCTGATATTCTCTCTATCTTACATTATATTATTTGGGTCATAATACCTCACCATGACGTCACAGTACCTACTCGTAACGCTTGGAAAATAAGATAAAGGAAAGACTAGAAAAACAAAAAAGGCAGAGATAGAGAAATGAAGAATGAGACATGGAGGCGTGAGAGGTGAGAGAATGTGACACGGAGAAATAGGAACAGAGAATGACGGAGAGAGAGAGAGAGAGAGAGAGAGAGAGAGAGAGAGAAACAAACGGAAGGAATAAGAAAAAGATAAATGGTAATAGTAGGAAATAGAAAAGAAATTGACAGAATATTTAAAATGACAGACAAACAGAGAGTGAGAGAGAGATTTCAGTTTAACAGACGGAGTAAAAACAGGGACGAGACACAGAGACGACAGACAGAGATAGAGAAACAGACGTGAGAGTGACAGATACAAGAACGACACTGACCTTCGGAGTACTTTGATCTCATTCTCGAGAGAGTCTTCCTTGCCCTTCAGCGCCTTCTTGTCGATGATCTTGATGGCCACGACGCGCGAGGGGTCGTCCCTTACCTCCGCCAGGTGAACCGTCGAGAACGCCCCCCTGCAGGAGACACAAACACATGAATATCAGAAATGGATCAAGAAAAAAACACACACACACACACATGAATGACATAAACCAAGAGGCACACTCTAAACAAACATGATGCAATATTATAAAGAACATGGAGATAACATAGACACAAACATCAGTCATGAATCAAAAAATAAAAACAAACAGGTAATAAAAAGTAATAACATATATAACGGATAAACTGGAATAATCAAATAATAGACACAAAGTCGAGATAAATATGTTACCCTCAGCAGACCTTTACCCTAACCTTATTTTTTCCCATTAAACATAAAGTTCACCCAACGCGGAAAAACCCCAGGAAACACCAGGAGACAATCGCCCTAGGGAAGCGCTCTCCTACCACAGCCATCACTGAGGCGAATTGAGACAATGAAGCACAATCGACTTCATACAACAATCTATGCCACTTATTTCCAGACAGACAGATGGATGGATGGATGGACAAACAGGCAGATAGACAGAGGGATAGACAGATAGTAAAAAAAAATTCAGTAAATTTGCCATAAAACTTTACATTCCTTTATCTTTTTATCAACAAGGTGGCGGTGGGGTGGCTGCTGACCAAACCCTGAACTATCCCCTTCAATGTGTCCACACAAGCCCTCCTTCCCCTGGACCACCGGCCTATTGTTTACCCTGGAGATCGGTTAAAGGTCAAAACCAGAGGGTGAGGCGCGCTCATCCTGACGCTGAGAGAGAGAGAGAGAGAGAGAGAGAGAGAGAGAGAGAGACGTTGTGTGAATGTGGGTGGTCAGAAGTCCCAGTTCAATTACCTCCCAATTCTAATAAGACCCAGTTTAATTAGTTCGTTCTAATAAGACCCAGTTATAGTAGGTCCCAGTTATAGTAGGTCCCAGTTTTAGCAGGTCCTAGTTCTAATTGGTTCCGGTTCTAATAGTTCCCAGTCCTAATCAACCCCAACCCAATTCTAACCTACCTATTTATTATGAGTGGGGGCCCAAGCATTAGGCCGGTAGTACCTCTTAACCAACCTTCATTACCGAATTAGTGAGAGCCCCCCCCACCTTTCCCCTCTCACCCCCCCTTTCCCTTTCATCCCCCTCCCCAATCTGATATGCTAAGCTGCTTCCGATATCATGACTCGTTTTTAATTTACAAAAGGAGGGGAAAAAGTACAGGTTGTGTTCCATCTAGAGAGAGAGAGAGAGAGAGAGAGAGAGAGAGAGAGAGAGAGAGAGAGAGAGACCCCTTTACTCATTACACACAATCTGTCACCTTCCCTCCCTCGCTGGTGACCTTAGACTCAATGAAATGAAGAGGTCATAAACATACACACATAACTAGATAGAGCATAGAGCCCTTGGCATCCTGTATAAAGCCCCTGGTCCTATATAGAGCCCTTGGTGTCTAGAGCCCCTTGTGTCCAATATAGAGCCTAGAGCCCCCTGCGTGGTGTATAAATATAGGGAGGAATAAGTAAGGAAATTTGCATGTGATTATATTATCTCTGGCGCGTCGCTGTAATGCAACCCAACTCCTCTTATTCCACTTTATTGGTATTTCTTCTTTATTCTCTATCCTCCTCCTCCTCCTTCTCTTTATACTTCTTCTTTAGTTGTGTTTTTTATCACCTCTTCGTACACTCTCTTCTCTCCATTTAGCTGTCAGGTGTTAGAGTGAGACAGATACCTCACCCCCTCCTCCTTACTCTCACACCCCCTCCTCCCTACGATATTACGTCCACGAAATGAAATTGGCAAGAAAAGCCGAGCATATTGACCTAGTTCATTAGCAAGAGTCACGCGGACTGTATGGTAGGTGAGGGGGAGGCTGAGGGGGGCGGACAGGAGCGGCAGATGATAGTCAGGAAGGGAGGGGGTGAGTGCAGGAAGGGGAGGTATAGGTGAGAGGGGGGGGGAGGATGGACAGTATAAATGGGAAAGATGATAATATGGAAAGGGAGAGAGTAAAAGGATGGGTGAGAACGAGAGGGAGAAGATGGTATGACTCTCTCTCTCTCTCTCTCTCTCTCTCTCTCTCTCATACACAGTTCCATCATCAATTGATTATCACGGTGCGCTGTATCCCAGGTAATTGGACCTTCCCGGGTTGGCTGGTCCTAAACACTCACCATCCACAAGGTCTAAAACCTCGTGGGACCAACATGGGACTCACGGCTTTACGCACCATTTGTGGCTTGGCTCTCTCTTGCCCCCGGGGAATAATTACTTGCGGTTAGGTCTGGAATACATTAGATACAGAGGCTAATAGTTCCTCTGGTGGGTAAATACTGTACTTATAGGCGGCGTTTAAGTACATTCTAAGTGATAAGTGCTGTAATTTGTAGGTACACATTTGATAGTATTTAAGTAGGATTAATACGCTGCACCTGGACCATGGACCGTGGACCATGAACCGTGGACCATGTACCAGGGACCGTGGACAATGGACCGTGGACCATGAACCGTGGACCATGTACCAGGGACCGTGGACCATGAACCGTGGACCATGTACCAGGGACCGTGGACCATGAACCGTGGACCATGTACCAGGGACCGTCGACGGCATCAGCACCAACAAATCGATGGTCCCGGAATAACCTCATTAGGCAAGGTCTTGTGTCCCTCATCAAGGTAATTCTGCCACTTAACACTCAAGTGGCTCCTTAAAACTAGAGTTATGAGTTGATACGGAGAACCAAGTTGGCCCTTAAGTGGCAGAAGGCTGGACTCTTTGTCATTCCCCTCGTTAAGTGTGTCGTCTTCGTTAAGTGTGTCGTTGTCCTCTTCGTTAAGTGTGTCGTTGTCGTCTTCGTTAAGTGTGTCGTTGTCCTCTTCGTTAAGTGTGTCGTTGTCCTCTTCGTTAAGTGTGTCGCTGTCCTCTTCGTTAAGTGTGTCGTCCTTATCGTGTGTGTGTGTGTGTGTGTGTGTGTGTGTGTGTGTGTGTGTACAGGACCTCACCTCACTTTAGGTCACTCCCTAGCCCTAGATGACCTAATCCACTAGTGTCTGGGGACCAGGAGACAGTAGGGGATTACCTGCATGGGTCAAGGTCAATTTTTACTAAGACAAGATGACCCGTGGAACAGATGTGACCCCAAAACAGTTGTTTGTTTGTGTGTGTGTGTGTGTGTGTGTGTGTGTGATGATGTTTATTAAGTGCGACGAACACTTCAAATGATGCCATGAAGGATAATACGAAATACAAATACATACATATATACTGTATATAAGTACGTAATCATACACACATCATTTAACTAAAAGAAAAAACAATCATCTGGTAGTTCATACACACATACAGACACACACGCTGAACTTCTATCATCCAGGCATATCAACCCTTTAAAATAATTACTATAGGCCTACTTGATAATGAATACAGACCTACTTGATAATTACTATAGACCGAATTCATAATTACTATAGACCTACTGGATAATTAGCATAGGCCTACGTATCTCAAGTAAAACAGTGATCCAAAATACACGGTTTATGTGCAGGTGTATAAATAAATGTGGATCGCCTCGGGATTAATCAACGGCTTAACTCACCTGAAGCCCAACCATCCCGACGTTACCTGGGAAGAAGGGGAGGGGGGGGGGTAATCTTCAGGTGATCGATAAACGCAAAAATTGAGAATGATTTAGGTCTGTCTATCTATCTATCTCTGTGTGTGTGTGTGTGTGTGTGTGTGTGGCCTAACATAACTACCACACACACTTGTCAGTCTCTTGCAAGTAAATCAAGGTGTAATTGGCGGCACAGGTAACACGGAACTATGAAAAAAGTAATCATTGTTGTTCATAAATCCCCCCCCACCCGAAATAAATACTACTACTTCTTACAAAACACCTAAATAAAAGCAAATAATTCTAACTTTTGAACAGGAAATCAAAAAATAATTATACTTACAACAGACAAAAAAATAATTATACTCGAACAATCTTCATCAGAGGGCGCATAATGTCCGCCAAAGTATAGACGACAGAAGATTGAAGGCAACACAGATTATAGACGCCTGGAAATTGAGGTTCGCTAAGTCACACAATAAGACCATTACGTAAGAGGGTGAAAGACCGCACACACACACACACATGGGATCCAAGCCTTTGTGTGGTGTACTAGTTTATGTTTTCCCTCCTATCGTCTTTATCTGTCTCCCTCATTCCTTCCTTTATCCCTACCCCCTCCTCTATTCCTCCCCCTATTCTCTCCCTCTTTCCTACCCTACCTAACATAACCAAACCCCATTCCCCCAAAAACAGTGTTGGAGAGAGAGAGAGAGAGAGAGAGAGAGAGAGAGAGAGAGAGAGAGAGAGAGAGAGAGAGTTTCAATAAGTGACCTTAAATAAATACACAAAAATTGGAATAAAAATTTAGTGTTTTATTTAACCATCAAACAAAAAAAAACACACTTGCGTTGTTTTACCTACAAATAAAAAAACAAAATTAAAACAAACAGACACCTTTTTATTTACCAATCAACTTCACATCAAAACAGAGAGAGAGTTACAGAGAAAAACACAAACATCAAACAATTCCCCGTCTCTTTGAGTGAGTTTTAACTGTCAAAACACCCGTCACCTGTAGCGCCCGTCCTCACACACAGGCGTGATAATTTAGCCACGCTTGGAGGGTCAGAGCTATCTTGACGTGGCTGAGGCTCTGACGTCACTCACAACAACACTATGAAGCTGACGTCACTCACAACACTATGAGGCTGACGTCACTCACAACAACACTATGAAGCTGACGTCACTCACAACAACACTATGAAGCTGACGTCACTCACAACACTATGAAGCTGACGTCACTCACAACAACATTATGAGGCTGACGTCACTCACAACACTATGAAGCTGACGTCACTGCAACAACACTATGAAGGCTGACGTCACTCACAACAACACTATGAAGCTGACGTCACTCACAACTACTAGGAGAAGCTGACGTCACTCACGCACTTAACGCACTGAAATGACGTCACTCACAGCACTATGAAGCTGACGTCACTCACAACAACATTATGGCTGAAAATTAACTCACAACTACTAGGAGGCTGACGTCACTCACAGCACTATGGAAATGACGTCACTCACAACACTACTATGAAGCTGACGTCACTCACTGCTAGCTAGGCTGACGTCACTCACAACCCACTATGAAGCTGACGTCACTCACAACACTATGAAGCTGACGTCACTCACGGCTACTATGAAGCTGACGTAAATACAGCAACATAGGACTGACGTCACTCACAGCCTTACTAGGAGGCTGACGTCACTCCACAACACTAGCGGCCGGGCGTCCGCTCCTACAACTACTATGAAGCTGACGTCACTCACAACACTATGAAGCTGACGTCCTCACAACTATGAAGCTGACGTCACTCACAACATTATGAGACTGACGTCACTCACAACTACTAGGAGGCTGACGTCACTCACAACACTATGAAGCTGACGTCACTCACCTTTACTATGAAGCCTGACGTCCTCACAACGCATGAAGCTGACGTCACTCACAACCTATGAAGCTGACGTCACTCTACAACACTATGAGCTGACGTCACTCACAGCACTATGAAGCTGACGTCGCTTAGCAACATTATGAGGCGTCACTCCACACAGCTTACTAGGAGGCTGACGTCACTCACAACACTATGAAGCTGACGTCCTCACAACCCACTATGAAGCTGACGTCACTCACAACACTATGAAGCTGACGTCCTCACAACACTATGAAGCTGACGTCACTCACAACACTGCAAGCTGACGTCACTCACAACACTATGAAGCTGACGTCACTCACAACAACATTATGAGGCTGACGTCACTCACAACACTATGAAGCTGACGTCACTCACAACACTATGAAGCTGACGTCACTCACAACACTATGAAGCTGACGTCACTCACAACATTATGAGGCTGACGTCACTCACAACACTATGAAGCTGACGTCACTCACAACACTATGAAGCTGACGTCACTCAACACTATGAAGCTGACGTCACTCACAACACTATGAAGCTGACGTCACTCACAACATACAACATTAAAAAATCAGGAAATACAAACAAACATACAATCATACACTACAAAAATACAATATCTAACCATAAATCCTCTTACATTTCTCTAATTTATTTCACTCTTGTTATTTATCCATCTAAATCACCTTTATTAATTATCATGTAAATTATCCATCTCTATTATTCATGTTTTTTTTTCATCGAGTTTACTGTTAAATTTTGTTTATTATTTTTCCACCCACAATATTTATTTTTGTTTATTTGTTTACATTGTTATGGTTATTAATAATTCCGGTTTATATTGATTGTGTTGTTATTGTTTGTTGTGGGTTAAATTACGTGTTCCGATGACGTCATAGTGTTATTGTTGTAATAAATTATTTGTATTCTTGTTCTTAGAGGATAGTGTGTGTGTGTGTGTGTGTGTGTGTGTGTGTGTGTGTGTGTGTGTGTGTGTGTGTGTGTGTGTGTCCTCAGGTCAGACACACCATGTGAAGATTAGACACTCCGGGTTATTTCACCAGAAGGTTAATCACCAAAATATAATCTAACCTAAGGCAATTTAGGTTAAGTTAAATTACTGTAGGTTAAGTCACGTACGCAAAAGGGTGTCTACTCGTAAGGTGATCCAAGGAAGAAATTATTCACCAACTTCAAGTATTGATTATGTTGACCCAATTATGTGGAGCGTCGTCAAAGGTCGGCTTTCACCCTAATATAACCTAACCTAACATAGCACTAACTTAACAAAGCCTAACCTAACATAGCACTAACTTAACACAGCCTAACCTAACATAGCACTAACATAACTTTATCTGGCTTAACAAAACATACTATAGCCTAACTTAACCTAACCAACATAACCTCACCTCACCCCAAGACCCGAGTCACTGACGGGAGGGACAAGCCCGTCAACACAAAGGACTCGTGAGTCTATATTTAGTCACGTGAGTCACCCTTGACGGACTCACGACTGTTCAGGGCTGTAGATACATAAATATAGGTCAATCCTACGAGTCTCAGGCAGTCCCAAGAAAATGACGCCAAAATTACACTGAGACTAGACGTTAACTAGACATGTTCACTTAGCATCGGTTGCCAGACAAAATTACCGTAGCAAACATTTTTTTTAAATTACAGTACAGATCCGTTTTGAATGTACGAAAATATGTATGTGCATTATGGACTGCTGTTTGTAATTTACCTTAAAGTAAAAAAATATGATTTATGGTAGAACGTGTGACTCGGGTACACAGTTCAGCGTCTCCCCGATACAGCACCGAGGACAGCTGGTGGTGACGAGAGAGAGAGAGAAGAGAGAGAGAGAGAGAGAGAGAGAGAAAGGAGTAAATGACAAAATAATAATAATAATAATGATTACCTAAGAACCTAAAATAAGGAGGTCTGCAATAGGCCGGTTGGCCTGTGCATGGCAGCTCCTGTCGAGTTACTACCACTCTCTATCATCCATGAATCTATCTAGCCTCCTTTTGAAACTTTCCAGAGTTCCAGCACTTACTACAAAGTTGCTAAGCTTGTTCCACTCGTCCACCAACCTATTTGTGAACC